ATGGATTAAACACTTAATATATTTTTGCATGCTGATGAATCATCATTTTGAGTCACATGACATTAGACGTTAGAAGTGGTCTATGGTTTTAGAGCTTCTGTCTGAATGGTTCCGACCCATCTTGTTCTATATATGTACAGATTAGCTTCAATATAATGTTGCCAAGGGTCTCATACTGTATAGTATTGTATGTAGTAGCTAACGACAAATGAAGAACTGCTAATGAAGCGCTTCTTGATTTCATTCACTATTAATCCCTTGACGTCGCTGTTCTATTTTCAGGTCTCGCCTGGCTCAGAGGGGATGTTTCTCACAGAGGCTACCACATGTATACACTCACTGACTGTATGCAAGCAGCCTGTGTTCATAGATATTAACAATACTTGACTGTTGTAAAATCTCCTGAAAATTGAACCACCAGCCACGAAAACACAGGTCAAAAAGTGGATAACGATCGCTGCTTGTGATTTCATAACATTAGACGGATGTGTCTCTTCTTCGGTGGTGTTAGCCAGCCTCGAAATGCATTAGCTTGCGGAGCCCCTCCTGCCAATCGTCATTTGTGTGATTTTTTTTCTTATCACCACAACAACGTACGGAATGTCACAACAAAGCCTTCATGAATGAGTAGGCACAGATCCGATGAAGAGAGGAGGGGAAATGGGAGGAAAAATTGCTCATTTTGCTTCCCCTGGCATGCAATTTCCATTCTCTATCCACATCTCTCTAAAAAGCCATCTAAAACACATCAACTTCATCTTTGTAGGCTGGATGGGCCTCTGAGGATCACCTCCAGACATGCTACGATGACACTGGGCCTGAAAAGAAAAGGATGAAAATGACAATTCAACCCTCTTGCTTATAGCAATGGGCTTCTTATGCCACTGCCTTTTCAAAAGAAAAGACAAATAACTTCATTCACTTCTCATTTCACTTGCCCCTAGCAAAGAGAAATACTGTATATTGAGCTAACTGATCATTTCTTAGATGGCCTTTTCATCAGAGGAAGAGCAACAAGTACTTTTGTTTCATTTAGCTGTGTTACCTGACCAGCACAACATTTATGCTCCAGGGCCTGACCCTCTGTGGCTGACCCAGAGTCCTTTTAGTTCCTGCTTTAACAAAATTAATTGCTTTTAAATTGCATTTGACTCTGATCAGTTATGCTTTGATCCCCCTTGAAGACACACACACATGCACAGAAGCATTTCTTTTTTTTCAAGAGCAATGCAAAGAGACCATTACCATGCTTTTAGTATTAAGCATTACTCTGTTTGGATAGGAATGCCATTACATGCAGGAAGTGAATAAAGGAAGCATTTGAGCAGCAGATGCTCGGTTCACATCCATACGTGAAGGCATTCAGATCAAGGTCTCAAAAGTAAGTCGACCATGAAAATGATTTGCAGGGGAAGACCATTCGTATTGATACCTACCCTCTGATGAATAACAGCAGGGGAGCGCATATAGAGAGCTGTAGGGCCACCAAGCGGGGGGGGGGGGCATTTACTTTTCAATACAGCCTAGTCTCACCTCAGTGAGTAATCATGGTTGCTATATTTTTTCTAAAAGGGTGGCTTTCCTTTTTTCAGCATGAAACAGATTAAAGGACATAACTTGTGTTGGACTCTTAATCCGGCCTAACATACCTAGTGGGGTTATACAAATCCAAATAATGACATCTCTTAAGGGCTGATGTCCCTGAGAGGGGTAAAGCTACCTGAGGTCCACCAGTAAAGTATTCATAAATGGTGTATCCAAATATATACAGGAAAATAATCAGATTTTACGTGAATGAATGGTATATTTAGGCAATATATTGCCCACTCTTTGCATAATTAAAGCAAATTATCTAAATTGATTTACAACTAAACTATTGAGAGTGGAAATAACAGCCTTACGGTAAGGCAGTGCTAGTTTATCAACAAAAAAAAGAAATTGTCTTAAACTTGTTTTACACAAGGAATTTAAAAAAAGATACAGGTAGGAAGAATTCAAGTTTAAAAGCTACAAAAGAAAACTACCTCTGGAGGGAACTTTTGGATTTCAGCCTTTGCAGACCATTTACATGCACAAAAACATATAACACACTACAGGAAAAAGGAAAACCCCCAAAAGGATAATAGGGCCCCTTTCATATGATAGTGAATATAACAACAGTTTAACTTACTAAAAAATTACTCAAATGTGAGGTTTCTAATGGGGATGAAAAACACGACTATTTGGTGCAGACTGTGACGGACATGAATAGAGAAAGGCCACAAGCCACTGCTTTAAAAAAAAAAAAGGTCTCTTAGCATAATTTGGGACCGCTGAATTCATTAAAACAATGAGTGGAAAGTTGGAGGTGAAAATACTTAAGCCAGAAAGGATAAATAGATGTAAATGTTGGTGTTCACTAGGGCTACACGATATATTGTGTCGTGAAGATAATCGCGATATGCGCATGCGCGATATTCATCGGGTGGACGATGAAAAAATATAAGACTTGCGATATTCAGTAGGCAAATTAACTCAAACACGTCATGTTACAATTATTTTGCTGCTTGCTACAAAAGGATAACTTGCGCGGCTCTCATGTCAGGGGTACTTGAGTGAGTGACAGCAAACCACCAATCACAATCAAATCTCCAAAGCAAATGGACCCTACAGCCCTAGTGTTCACCCTCATGAATCTTTCTTATGAGCAGAGCAACATGGCCAGACATATTGTAATCTACCTGATCTACCATACTTGTCAATCCATGACATGATGTCTGCAACAAAAATAAATAGCTTGGAATCAGATCGATGCCCTATGATTGTGATGGAAAATGGAACAAGGCATGAGGAAAGAGGAATCTCATCTTCACGGGAATTGGATTTTCAAAAGATTTAACTGAGAGCATGTGTGTTATGCATGTGGTCCACAACAGTCAATAAGTCTGCACAGAAGTCAGAATGGAGGGTGGTCCATCTGAATTTGCACACATGCACATTGCCGCCCACACACACTAACACACAAGCTGGATCACCTCTGGGTATTTCGATTTCCCCTTGTAGTCTTATTAATGTAATTTAATATCCATGATTGAGGTGGCCTCTCTCAACATTCTTCCTCACAAATCCTCATCAATTGCTCCAATCACTCCCCACACAGAGCCAATATTGCACAGTGAGACAACCCTTATTTCCTGCTATGTTATCTTTCATTTGAAAGCCTCTGACTGCCTGCCCCTTGATTGGAAAGCCAAGGCCAATAGGCATTGGTGACAGCTCCTTGAAAATTAAAGTATCAATCAAGACAAGAAGGGGAGAAAGCTTGTGATGTCTTCAGATACGTCTGTCTGCCAGAGAGAGCATTGCAAGCCAAATTGGAACAATGGATATTAGCAAATATGTACTAATGTAATGTAACTAATGGCACTGACTTTGATGTTGAAATTCAACTTTATTAAGAGCATCCACATGCCCAGTCAGAGTTAAAATGAATAAAAAAACTGATTAAGTACAAAAAATGTGACTGAAAATGACCCTGCCAATAAGACAGTGACTTTAATGGTGCATTAAGATGCCCTTTACATCTACACTTAATTCATCAGGCAGCAGAAGAGGAATTGAATGCCGCTGGGTAAACTTGACCAGCATAAAAAAAGTGTGCCAATGCTGGATGACATAATCTCTGTCTAAATCAATTTTTGTGTGAGAGCACTCGACTCAGCTCAATATGTAGCTGCAGGGCTTGCGTTAAGTGGCCACTGCCACTTACCTATAAATTCATGTGCTGCTGGTTGCTCCTATGGCAAAGCTTAACCCCTGGTATTCGAAATAAATAAAGATGATATTAAAATAGCATCATAAACCAAGAATATATCACCTACAGCAGAAGTAGTCAAGAAGAAATTGAATTGCAGAGCAAGATGACTTCAGAGCAGTGGGAATGGAGCACACATGTGACAAACATAGACATTTTTATTTTATTAACGAGCTGCTATGAATGTAAGTCTTTCTCTGCCCGCAGGCCTTGGCCTTAGGAGTTGAGTGTTTCTAACAGTTTAACAGAAAAATGTGTAAGAAGGAGCAGCTTTCTGGCAGTCGTTGTTTGCTAAAAAGGTGAGTTGCAAGTTACAAGGCTAGTACCTTGCGTAACTCGTATGTAGTAGTGGGTGAAAGACAAAAACACCCCCCTCCCCATTTTGTTAAACCAGCATCTGCTCTAACTTTACAGCAGTATAATTTCCTGATTCCCACATATGTTTAAAGCAAACTCCAGTCTGATCCAAGACAGAGTGGAGCTCCAACATGGGCGATTATAGGCCATCATCCACCCGAACATGAGAGGGAGGCAGGAGATGGGAGAGGAAATACTAGCAAACACCGAGGCAGAGAGCTGACTCGTCAAGCAATCATTCAGCAGAAATAATTTGAAATGACTAAACCCGGGCACTGCTCGACACCCCTTTTCTGACACGCGTGCATGTGCACATGCACATACACCCACTCACACACGCATCAAAATCGCGCACTTTCCACAGGCGCTTATACACACAAACACACACACAACATTGCTGACGCACCAGAGCGACACGCAAATGCGCACAGTGTTATTGCACATTTAACGTCGAGATAAAATTAACCGTAAAATTAACAGCCCGTATCCACTGACACAATGTAATTGGTGTGCTTGGATAATTGGGTTTTTACTAAAGAATACAGACGACTTCAGCAGTCCACTTCAGTGTTGTACTGCAGCCGTGAAGACTTCCCTGTAACATCCACTGAGCTGAGGAGGCTGCATCCGCAACTAAAGCAAAAGGAGCCACTGGGATTTATGAGGGGTAAACACTCCAAATGTGCATTTAAGTGCCGCATATTTGGAAAAACTGGAATCCGTTTGTAATATCAGCATAATCCAAGCGGATCGTTAGTGCCCACAAACTGGTTCAAGCAGATCTACAGAAATCAGCACGGGCATCAAAATAACTTTGGAAACGAATAGACCAAACATATATTGAACTTACCCACAAGCAGTTTGCAAATGATAGCGTACACTCTGCTGTCAGTTATGATAGCCCCACACCATCACGGTGTATCAGAATCTGTTCTGGTCTACAGAGTAAAGCAGTAACGTTTGAAAAAGAAATCACAAGGAATCCCGTGCCGTGAAATAGTCCACTTCTCCAAAAAAAACGCAGCGTCTATCCACAAAATTACATATTGCCAGGCTTGACTGGCGCAAATCGGAGCACAAAAACACCTACAACCGGTCACTTTGAAACAACAGGAGTGGAGAAAATGAAGACAATCATGACAGTGATTAGGGGAATGGTCGAAAGAATCAATGAAGGGCAATATCAAAGGAGGCAATTAGTCTGATGATCCTCTTAATTCAGTTAGCCGCTCACAGCCCGGCAGGTGAGCACCGCCTTTAGCAGGACTACACGAGCGCAAATTTCCAAAGTGATGTGCAGAAAAAGACACATCGGATGCCGTCTCTCTCTCTCTCTCTCGCTCTCTCTCTCTCCTCCGCTCTCTCTCTCCTCCGCTCTCTCAGAGTGCGGCGAGAAGTCAGCATGAGCTGAGCAAGACAGCACAGGAAAAGAGGGGATTTGGCGTCAAAATAAAAGCACGCAATCCGTCATCAACCATAATGCTTTAGTATGCTATTTACAGAGGCTACAGGGCAACAACTGCGGCACAAATTATTGCCAGACATGTTCATATCTCACATGGACCGTTTTAACAGATTATTGTATGACTTTTCCCCGAGTGCTGTGCTCATTTGAATGCATTTTCCTGCATGGCTTTTATTTTGAAGGACAGATCAGAGGCCTTGTTTGGATACTTTATCTGGCTTGACCTGGTACCAATGTGAACGCTCCAATGTGAGCTGTGTTCCTCTGGAGCCTTCATCCTCTACATGGCGCAATGAGTGAAACCTTCCCAATGAACGCTCATGAGGAAAATCAATCCTCATTATGCGAATGTTTTCGAGAAATAAATGTGCATGTAGGAATCACTTGGGTTACACAGAGGATAAAGAGCGCTGGATGGAGCAGGCAGCTTTAATGCAGTGCAGCACAAGTTTGAGGCTAGACACACTGCCGCCATATGGAGATAACAGAAAGGGCTGAAATGTACTAAAAATGGTCTTCAAATTACCAAGGTGATGTACAAAATGTGGCTTGAATTAAAGTGAAACACATGTTCAATGCTTAAGCCTAAAATGTTGAATATTGTTGTGATGTGCGTAAAAAAATCATTAATTTTACAGATCAATTGGTACAGTTTATTGAGACTTTAAAAGTAAGTAAATTGTGAGATGATATCAAAGTAACAAGGCAGGCAAGTCACATTTAATGAGCAGGATATACACTTGACCTTACACAAACCAGACCTTAATTTTAAACAAAAAAAGGTTCAAATGCTTTTGTCCATTAGCACAACAAATGAAATGTTCTCCTTTTCTACTTCTACTTTTTAATTAAACAACATTTTCCAATCTCACAGACAAATATTGAAAAAACACTTATTTGCTTTGCAGTGATTGTATTGTATCAACATTGATCACTAGAGATGAATGTGATATTATGTCTGCACACCAGTATTTATGAGTAACCAATCGACTCACACCACAGAGGCATGAAACAAAACCCAGTCTTGCTGAGGATGATGGATGCACAGTAAAACTTGTTTGTATTCCTCGATTGCAAAGGTGTGTTACAGATTAAGGGCTGCTGGGTAAGCAGGGGCTCCGTGTCGGAGAGCCCGGCTGCAGAAAACGGACTCGTTTGATTTCCCCCTCACTGGCTACCCCCTGTCAAGACTTTGGCCTCTGGCACAGCGCTTCTGTGAGGGGAATTTGGATGAGGGGAGGGCTTTGAGAAGGAGGAAAAACCACCCTCCTCTGACTGAAAATGTGCACTTGTGAGCTTTCTTTGTCATATGCAGACCCTGACGTGAATAGGGGTTTCTTAATGAGCAGAAGAGTGGACAAACACGGCATTGATTCCTCGTTCCATCCGAGGTTGTCATCCGCAAATGGCCTCAACTCAATCAACTGGTTAGTGTGCAACTTTGAGGACAACTGTCCAGTGAGGGATGATTGTTTGCTGCATACTTCATGCTGGTTTTGAGGAATTGTTGTGACTTCAAGAGTTGTGTGATGATTCGGGTGCATTCTGGATCTGCTCAGTTATGCTCCTCCATGGGTTAACAGTGATATGAGTCACTCTCAAACCCCAGTTTAAAAACTACAAACACATTATCACTGGGCTCAAAACAAGGTTGTTATCCAACCTTCTCAAAAGCTGACAATTTAGAAAAATAATAATGTTTCAACTTGTCAACACGGTATGAAGCATTAGACTGTTCCAATTAAAAGACACATCTGCTGATGTATGGAAAACATGTCAGAGGTTCTTTTTTAAATGAGTAACTACATGGAGGTGTAACATAAATTAATGTGAAACTTTAAAAGATGAATTTGAACTAATTGGAATTTTGGTTGGTCTTGACTGATAATGAGGGAGGTATATGATAAAATAAGGTCAGAAGTAGAAAATGTACTCAGATCCTTTACTTAAAACCTCCATTGGACTCCTTTGTTTACTTCCTGAATGAAGTGACATTCCTATGAAACACTCGCGCTGCTATTGGCTAGCGCTCCTACACATTGTACATTGTGGTTAAGGGGCAGGACATCTCTAAGGGGTTGACCAATCACAACAGAGCCGGCCAGCTAACCAATCAGAGCAGACTGGGCTCTGGTTTCAGACAGAGGGTGAAAAGAAGTGCTGCAGTACAGGCAGTATGAGAAAAATAAAGAGCTTTTTGAACCTTAAAGCATGGAGACATGTCACAGTAGAGGCACAACATATGAATATGAACCTGAAAATTAGCAAGAGGCCCCTTTAAGTAATCCTGGATTGCCCGTTTTTATGAAAAATTATGCAAGTAATATTAGCATCTAAACCAGACAGTTATACAGTAGTTATGGAACTTATTTGGTGCATAACCACAGCATTTTCAAGTGTTTTAAAAAATGTGATATCTTAATTTTTTGGTTAAATTAACTAAGGATAAAAAACGTACTGCAACACACTCTAAAAAGGCTCAGCCATATGTCCCGGCCTCGCTCCCTCAGCTGCTTTTTTTAACCTCATTTGGACTGGGAGTAATAATCAGACATTACTTTGTGAGAAGGGTTGTTTTCTGGGAAGGCTACACATTTTATTGGGGTAATCAGGTCACTGGAGGAAGCCTCGAAGCCCTTCTCCAATTACTGCCTACCGAAACACAGAGTACCAACAGGACTTAGCAGAAAACATCTCAACATGTCATCCCACACGGACTAACAAAGCGTGACCCTTCCTATTAAATCAATACGCATGTTTTAATTTGTTCCTATGCTTGAATAATGGTAGTGAAGACACTAGCAGCGAACATATTTTGATATGCCTCTGAGTCTGACTGCCTTCACATACTTTGTCAAAATACCTCTAATTACAGGGTCATTTCATATGTAGGAAACATGTCTTCAGGTAAATCATTTCTGACAATAAGAGGATATAACCTCTCTTGTAGAGATGCATGTGTTTGTGGGGTGATGTCATCACGCAGTTGATGCATTATTCACCGCTCATCTCCAATTCAGTTCAGCTCCGATCAGAGAAGATTTAATGAGATACGACATAAGTTGGAATGTGATAAGAGAGTCCATGGCGCTGCTGCTTCTGATGCGTTTTGGACAACCGTGGGGAGTCATAGCAACATTTCTTTTTATCTCTAAAGTGTTTAAAGAAATGATAACAGCCATATCTAAGGGCTTTATTTGTGTTTATATAATACTGCCCCCACATGAATGCAAAATCATATTTTTTTTATTTTAGTAGCTTATTGATGAACAGAGTTCTAAGATGAAACAGCAGTGTATTTAAAGAGGCCCTGTTGTGCTTTTTGGAGTTTCACCTAGTGTGTTATATAGGTTTGTGTGCATGTAAATAGTCCGCAAAGGTCCCAAAGTTAAGGAACATAGAGACATCGCTATGCAACACACGCACTTCTATTGGCCAGCACTCCAACACATTGAACGTTATAGACTTAGGGGCGGGACATCTTAAAGCGGTTGACCAATCACAACAGAGCTAACCAATCAGAGCAGACTGGGCTCTGGTTTCAGACAGAGGGTGAAAAGATGTGCTGCAGCACAGGAAGTATGAGAAAACAATGTGAACATTAAAGTGTGTAAACATGTCCGATACTGCAACAAATATGAACCTAAAAAATGATCAAAACAGGACCCCTTTAACCTGCACAAAGAGTATTGTTGTGCCACTAAGTGGCCAGCATATTGTGTTTCTACCAAGCGGCAAACTGTGGGGTCGAGCCGGGAAGCCAATACGGAAGTGCCACACACTGCAGTTCATATATTGGCCGATAGGCGATGGCTGCAGAAAGGAGCAATTTCCATAGACCCCCATGTTAAAATGCCCAACTTTACAGCAGAAAAAAACATGTTTCTACCCCTGTCTCCATACATTTTTATTATCGATATAGTTAGATTCCACCTTCATGATTATGGATCTGTGAGTGAATTGTTTTCTAACGCGACCCTTTTATTTATATTAGGTCTTAAAGTTTGTGCATAGATTAGGGCGTGGTCACATTGAGTGACGGCTCTGTGAAGTGCCTGCCGCTGTTAGCTTCTTGTCTCTCTGCTAGCTGCTCCGTGAAGATAGCTACAGGGACTCTGCTTGCTCAGCTCATCCAGGAAACACAACTTGTAGCCGGCCGTGGCTGTTTGTTCTTCATGCTTATATATCGGACTATTGTGACTCGCTCTGCGGTTAAAACAGACGGTGCATGAATGCGGTAAGTGAAATTCGAGTGCTTTATTTATGTGTTAATGATTTTAATCAGCTACGTAATGAATGGTAAGACTTGGGTTAGCATGTAAGCTAGTGGTAGCTACATCGGTGCTAACGATTGTAATCGTAGCCTCCAAGTTAAAATCATAGACTGTATATATAAAGGTTAAAACGAAATAGACAAGTGTTAAGTGGGATAATACTGTTGAACAAACGGCTTCTGTTTGAGGTTGATAAAATAAGGTTACATCCTTGTAACTTAGAGATATTTTATTATGTAGGTAGACCTGTATGCATCTAAGGTTAATTTAAATTGGCTATGCTCAAGTATGTAGACAAGGTAATGTCGAAGTAGTGTATGTGAAATCAACCTCACAATAAGATGTGTATATTACAATTATTAATGTCATATTTCAAGATGATTACTTAGATATTACAATATGGTTGGTTGAGCTGGAGTTCATTATCGAGCTTACACGTTAACGTCACAGTCATCTGAAGAACGAACCCAAACCTTGTTGTTTTTATTAATTGCATTACCAAATAGGTATCAAATAAACAGTAAGCATTGGTAACACAACTTCCAAAGTTACAGTAAAAATAAAAAGGACCCTGACTCGGACAATAC